AGCAAAGAGAAGAAAATGTAAGAATAAATTTGATGGGGTTAAGCATGCCCCATCAATTTCTAGCTTCTTATCCCATCGTGTCTGTCATTCTGTAAAACTAAGATATCCATGTTGAGTTGGATTTGCATGGGCTATTGAAGAACATGGAGAAAATCATTATGAATCAGTAGGATTCCTGCTCCCCATCTCATTTATTCCACAGACATTCACTGAGCCTCTGCTCTCTGGAGGACCCTGTGTTAGTAGTGGGGACACTAGGAAAAGCAGGACGCCCCACACCTAGAATGATAGTGTAGGAACTGCAGTCACATCGGGAAGATGTTGAGATGTCCCTTAAGCCCCATAGAGCAAGTAAAAATGGAGTGAGGCAGTGGAGGTCTGGGAATGAGCACTCAAGTATGGGTGCCAGGAGCCAGGGCAGTTGGGGGCCTTGGGAAGCTGGGGGTCCTTCTGTGGGAGGTGTTCCTAAAGTAGCTGGGTGGTGGTGGCGTGGCGGTGGCCAGAATCAAAGAGCATGTGTTAAGGCTGAGAGGAAAATTGGACATGAGGCACTGAGAGGATCCTTCTGGATCCTGAAGAAAGCAAAGAGAGCGCTCCTCTTGGGGAAAGAAGGAAGTCATTCTGGGGTCCTGTCACATTGCACTCGAATGCAGTTACGAGCTAGGTGTTTTATAATCCATCATCTCCCAAGGTTTTCCTTAGGAGCAGAGTGAAACTTCCCTGAAGTGAGGCCCAGAACCCACTGGGTAGGAAGTCTTCTTCCCAGTCTCAGAAAGCCAGGATCGATTCCACTGAGCTGAGAAAATCTTTGTTACCTTGAGTGCCATTTAGCCAATTTTAAGCAAGATCTAGATTTTTGTGGGGATGAAATGAGTGAAAATAATGGTTTGGATGGAAGAGAAGCTGCAAAACAGGGAAGGAGCTGGTTTTTAACTGAAATTCTGGAGCTTTGAGCTCATTACTCCCAGCCGGGGAAGACCTCAGCTCACACACAGCCAGACTGTATAATGTATCCTACAGGAGGGAAATATGCAGAGTGGCCATTCGTCTGAATTTCCTTTCTGTTTCCTACTGAGTTAGAAGTTCTCAGAGATGTCATGGAAGCAAAATCATTTCCAGAGAGGGAGTGGTAGGGTCTGGGGTGAAAATAATACTAGAAATATGTACCAGCCACTGAAGATCCAATACACACCAGGCATGGAACCAGGTGTTTTACTACATGGCCTCCATTCCAACAGTGTCACAAAGTGCAGGTTGTGAAACCCATGTTACAGATGTAGAACCCTACATGGTGCTTGGTACTGTTCCCAAGATTGTAGAGCCTTTTAGTAAAGATCAGGCTGCTCTGAATGTGTCCACGCTGCCCTGTTCCCCTCTTCCTCGCTGAGACCAAACTTCCGTGACTTCATTCATTTCTATTCTCACGACTTCATGATGTGCTAAAGGAACAAACGGCAGGACTCTATTTCCAAAATACAAAAGCAGGCTTAACGACAGAAAGTGACAAGGCACATCAGACAGAATTTGGGGACTGTCTGTGGGCTTTATGAATCTAGGGTCCTCCTGCCCAAGTCCCCGGGTCCTTGAGAGCTGACGTTGCCCAGGTGCCCTTGCCTGGTCTTCCCCCGTGGGCCCCTCCATCCATCTCTGCTTCTTGCAGGTGCGGGCCGCCCAGTAGGCAGCTGGGTCCCTGGGGTGCTGGCTTCAGGGCTCTAGGGGTTCCGGTGTTGCTGTTGACCTGCTGGTAGGGGGGCAGGGCGGAGCCCAGGGAGTCCCGGCTGGTGCTCCCCCACAGTGGGGTGTGCAGCCAGTCCTGGGGTCTGTGCTGGCCCACGGGAAGGGATCCGTCATAGGAAAAAATCTTCACAACCTTGGATTTAGTAAAGAATTCTTAAGTAAGACACCAAAACCACCATCCCTGAATGAAAAAAAAATTAATAAATACTTTTTCATAGTAAAAGGCACAACTAAGAAAATGAAAACCACAGTCGAGGAGAAAATATATGCAAATCATGTCCCTGACCCTGATGAGGGACTCATTTCCAGATTAGCCAATGAAACAGAACAAACCAAAAAAGCCCTCTTCAACTCAAAAATGAAGGCAATCCAATACTGAAAGTTTTCACCATAAAATTACCCTATGGCCAGCAATTCCACTAAGTGAGGAAAAAGGAAATATGTGCTCATCTTAAGATTGCCACGTGACTGTGACTTGGACGATAGTCAGGGTAACTGCAAAGGGAAGCAACCCAAATGTCCCTCAACTGGTGAGTGAATAAGCAACATGTGATCAGTCCGTGTGATGTAATGACATAGTATTCGAAGATAAAGTGAATACAAGGAAGCCAAAACAACCACCGCTGCATGTGCTAACAAGGATGGTCCCTGTAAGCCGTGAGACAGGAGCCCGTTCATAACAAGCTCGGAGACAATCACACCCTTAGAGACAGACAGTGGAGCAGCATTTGCCTGCGGTGGAGGGTGAGAGCAGGATTTGCCTACAGGTGGCACGAGGGATCTTACGAAGGTGGCGGACATTTTCGAACCTTTGCCTTTGATGATGGCTGTACAACTCAGGACATTTAATACCCATATTTAACTGACCACTTTAAACGGGAAAATTTTATGGTATTTAAATGATATGTCAATAAAGCCTTAAAAATGATTCTGTTGTACCCATAGATTTTGTTCCATGTATATAATCACTCAGTCAAGGATTCATTATTCCTTTATGCATCTCTTCCTGTACTGAGCACCTATCACATGCCAGACACTGTGCTAGGTTGTACGAATACCCTTTGGAACAAAAAAGAAGACTTGTTCTGAAGAACTCTGTTCCAAGCAGTGGAGACGAACATGTTTCAGCTGGTGTTTCACAACCTCTGTTCTTCAGAACAGAAGGCTCCTAGGAGATGTGAACCATCAGGAGGTCAGCAGGCACTAAGGGCTACTGTGCTTGGCACCAGCAAAGCAGCTGTGAACAACAGAGTCCCTGCCTAGAGGAGCAGCCTCCACGATGCTTCCCAGTGATCCCTGCCTCCTTTGCGGTCCTGAAGCAATTGGAGTGAGAGCCATCCAGGCCTCACTGGCTGTTTGGATGCTGAATGCAAGGGAAAGCAGGTGGCCCAGAAAGACTATGGCAATTTGGGCTCGAACACCTGGAAACCAGAGTTTCCATGGATGGACATTCCGAAGATGCAAGTGGAACCAGACTGGGGAGGGGCGGGAGGACGGAAAGAGCTCTAATTAACCCGAGCTCTGTCTGTGAATTTGCTAGGCAACCCAGAGGATGTATAGAGGAGTCTGGAACTCAGGAAAGAGTTCACTATTGGTAGAAACTGAGAGTTCCTAGGGGACAGATGGCATGTGAAGCCACGGGACTGGACATGATCACCAGGTGAGAGAGACAGCGACCAAGACCAAGTTCGAGGCTGTGAGCCACTTGGAGCCATTTGGCTAGGTCTTCAGGGAAAGGAGCTGGGAAGGAAGAGTCAGTGAGAGTGAAGGAAATGCAAGTGTGGAACAGTCTCTGGGAGTACCTGGTCAGCTCTGCTGAGTGCTGGTG